ATTTTGGGAGGCTGAAGCAGGTGGATCATGAGGTCAGGAGTTTAAGACCAGCCTGGCCAAGATGGTGAAACCCTGTCTCTACTAAAAACACAATAATTAGCCGAGCACAGTGGTGGGCACCTATAATCCCAGCTACTTAGGAGTCTGAGGCAGGAGAATCACTTGAACCCAGAAGGTGGAGGTTGCAGTGAGCCGAGATCATACCACTGCACTCCAGCCTGGGTGTGACAGAGAAAGAAAGAAAAGAAAGGAAAGAAAAAGAAAAGAAGAAAAGAAAAAAAAAGGAAAGAAGGAAGGAAGGAAGGAAGGAAAGAAAGGAAAGAAAGAAAGAAAAGAGAAGAGAGATGAGTCAAGAGCTGCTTGATGGAAAATCACTCCAGGCAAAGAATACTGAGTGCAAAGGAATGGCAGGGGGCATACATACCTGGAGTAGGATGCCGATATGAATCACGGAAGATAACATCAAGGAGGCGGTGTGTGTGTGGATGGGAGAGAGGGCTATGGACAAAAAGAAGAAAAGTTACAAGGCTGTTGAATGGAGTTAGTATATTAGATATATTTCCAAGATAGAATTTGCTGATAGATCAGATGTAGAACAGAGAAGTCAAGGATATCTCCATGTTTTTTTGTTTTTTTGTTTTTAGATAAAGTCACACTCTGTCACCCAGGCTGGAGTGCAGTGGCGCAATCTCAGCTCACTGCAACCTCTGCCTCCCAGGTTCAAGCGATTCTCCTGCCTCAGCCTCCTGAGTAGCTGGGACTACAGGTGTGTGCCACCATGCCCAGCTAATTTTTTGTATTTTTAGTAGAAACAGCGTTTCACCATGTTAGCCAGGATGGTCTCGATCTCCTGACCTCGTGATCCACCCACCTCCACCTCCCAAAGTGCTGGGATTACAGGCATGAGCCACAGCGACTGGCCTAGCTCCACAATTTTTTAATTTTCTTTTTTTTTTTTTTTTTTCCGAGACGAAGTCTCACTCTGTTGCCCAGGCTGGAGTGCAATGGCGCGATCTTGGCTCACTGCAACCTCTCCGCCCCTGGGGTTCAAGCCATTCTCCTGACTTAGTCTCCTGAGTGGCTGGGATTACAGATGCCCACCACTGTGCCTTGCTAATTGTTTTATTTTTAGTAGAGATGGGGTTTCATCTTCTTGGCCAGGCTGGTCTTGAAATCCTGACCTCATGATCCACCTGTCTTGGCCTCCCAAAGTGCTGGGATTACAGGCATGAGCCACCATGCCCCACCTCATTTTCATTTTATAAGTTTGTGTGTGTGTGTGTGTGTGTGTGTGTGTGTGTGTGTGTGTGTGTGTTTAAACAGAGTCTCGCTCTGTTGCCCAGGCTGGAGTGCAGTGGCACAATCTCTGCTCATTGCAACCTCCGCCTCCTGGGTTCAAGGGATTCTCCTGCCTCAGCCTCCTGAGTAGCTGGGATTACAGACAGGCCTGTGCCACCATGTCTGGCTAATTTTTAGTTGAGATGGGGTTTTACCATGTTGGCCAGGCAGGTCTTGAACTCCTGACCTCAAGTGATGTGCCTACCTTGGCTTCCCAAGTGCTGTAATCCCAAACTGCTGGGATTATAGATGTGAGCCACTGTGCCTGGAAAATTAATTTTAATTTTTTAGAGACAGGGTCTCACTTGGTTGCTCAGGCTAGAGTATAGTGGCACAATCATAGCTCACTGCAGCCTGAACTCTTGGGCTCAAGTGATCCCTCTGCCCAGCCACCTGCATAGCTGGGACTACAGGTACATTCTACCACCCCTGGCTTACATTTTGTAGAGATAGGGTCTCAATATATTGCCCAGGCTGGTCTAAAACTCCTGGCTCAAGTAATCCTTCTGCCTTGGCCTCCAAAATTTCTGGGATTATAGGCATTAGCCACTGCACCCAGCCTGACTCTAAGAGTTGATTTGAGCAATTAGAAGGATGAGTTGTAATTTAAGGAGGGGGGAAGACTGAAAAGGGAGGTGGAATTGGAATGAATTGGGGTTTTGGACTTATACTTGATCTGCCTGTAGAAATATCCAGGGGGAGATGTTGAATAGCTACATGAACATGCTATATGTCTGGATTGGGGAAATCAGGAGTAGAAATATAAATTTGGGAGTTGTCAACATATAGATGGTATTTAAAACCATGGGACTGAATGAAAGTCACCAAAGGAATGAGTGTATACTTTTAGAAGAAAAGAAGTCTGCTGGGCCCAGTGGCTCACACCTGTAATGCCAACACTTTGGAAAGCCAACGTGGGAGGATCACGATCACTTGAGCCCAAGTGTTCGAGACCAGCCTGGGCAACATGGTGAGACTCTGTCTCTATAAGAAATAAAAAAATATTAGCCAGGCCTGATGGTGTGTACCTGTAGTCCCAGCTACTCAGGGCGTGAGGTGAGAGGACAGCTCAAGCCCAGGAAGTTGAGGCTGCAGTGAGCCATGATCGTGCTACTGCACTCCATCCTGGACATCAGAGTAAAACTCTGTCTCAAAAAAAAAAAAAAAAAAAAAAAAAAGGAAAGAAAGAAAAGAAAAGAAATCTAAAGACTAAGCTAGGGGCACTCCAGAGTATAGTGGTCAAGAGGGTAGGTGGGAACTAGCAAAGAACCCACCTCTGCGTTGCTAATGCTGCAGATGGAGAATCAAGAGAAGAGTAAGCCTGGAGGCCAAATGAACAGAGCATTCCAGAAAGAGGGAGAAATCAACTGTGTCAATTCAACAGCTAGGCTGAGTAACTGAGAAAGGACCATAGGACTTACCACATGGAGGTCATTGCTAACCTTGTCCAGAGTGACAATGAATCAGTGAATAAATGAGTATAACTTTCTCCAACTATATTTGATCAGGACCCAATAATTCAGGGACTTTATTTCTCCAGGAAGAGTCTGATAAATTATTTGAATGAAATACCTTTCCCCTCAGTGTCTGAACTCCTCCTTGGAATTATAGGTGGCGGAAGATTGCAGAAAATCCTAATCTCTGGAAGCCAGGCAGTCTGGAGTTGCCTGTGGTCCTTTCTTTGTACTGTTCCACATAGCCATACAATACTCCAATTCCTTCAGGGCGAAGGAGTCATCAACATCTGAAAAACAAATACTATACTCTCAAAGTTACTGAAAAACACCTGCAAAAGGACTCAAGTGAGTGTAGTTCGTTTAGTCAGGCTGCAGGAAAAAACCACAGTTTTGAGATAATTATAGCATTGTTCGATAAAATATTTTCTTGGAAATTGTGATGACTCAGGGCATATTCCCATAAAATACAGTGAAAATTTAAATCGAAAGCAGTTGGACCCTGATGTATTGTTCTCTGAAAGGACGATTTCACCTTGAAGGCATTCTATAGCAGCTCCCATTTCTTAAGTGCTTTCTATATACCAGAAACTGTGCTAGAGGTGCTTAATGGACATTTAGCAAAGTGACTCCTCACAACCATTCTACAAGAAAGGTACTAGTATCATTCCCAGATGACAGATGTAACATTAAGAAGTTACAGTTGAGGAAATGGATGCTTGAAAAGTTTGAAAGGACATCTTAGGAATCAGTTATTGTCCCTGGGGAGGGACCTTCAGGAATGGCCTGATCCCCATCAGGAGAATTGTCCCCTGTTCAGGATGTCAAAGGTTCTCTACAAGAAATAAAAAAATACCCTTCTGCTTCTAGAAGTCAACTTTTCCTGGAAGGAAAAGCAGGCATGGGCTGAGGTGAGAGCTGGGATGCGAGTGGAGTATGAAGACTCCTGAGAGAAAGGAAGAAACAAAAAATATCTATTGAGCTAAGACTATGTATCAAATTCGGTCACTAGTCACTATTTTATCCTCAGAGACCTTTAAATTATGCGTGCGCGCACACACACACACACACACACACACACACACACACACACAGTGGTCAGGAGGGTGGGTGTAGCAAAGAACCCACTTCTTCAAAAACAAAACAAAACAAAAAAGCTAATAGAAAGTAAGACATTACCAATATGATGCCAACCCTCATGCACTCATCCCCAACCCCACACTTCTCCTCTCCCCACCCCTTCGTTCTGCTTACAGTATATGTTTATTTAGCCTATGGGATCCCAATGCAGAGGAGCCCCGGTGGACGCATTTATAGTGCCGTGAGAAGACAATGGCAATCACAGACAAGAGTTGAAATGTGATAAACATTTATACACTGTGTTTATATACAGTGTAACTCTGGCCAATTTATCTAATCTTTCTGAGCTCAATTTCCTCGTCTGTATAATGGGAAGAATAATCGTATTTATTGCTGCGCTGGTTGTTGCGGGGCTTAAACAAGATAATACTCTAAAGCTTTGGCACCTGGCACTGAAAGTAGCCATTCCATCTCTTCTCTCCCGCTCCACCTCACCCCTGCCTCTGCCCGCCCCGCCCGTTGTGCTTCCCACCGCTTTCGTGGTGCCCGCACCTGCCCACCTGCCTCTGCAATAAAAAACGCATCCCTCCTCCTGCAGTGTCCGCCGCACCGGGAAGCCCGCTATGTATCAGTTACCAACCATAATTGCAGTGAGTTCGGATCGTGGCTTTCTGACAGGAGACAGACGATCCGGCTCTTTAGGAGTGAGTAAAGGTTAAAGGTAGTTTGCGGCAGAGCCCAGGCCGGGAATAACCCGTTGTCCCGGCGCCCCGGCTCTTTGCATTCCAAAGTAGACATCTCATCCGCCCAACCCCGCCCGCAGGCGGCTCCCGCAGCCTCGGAGACCTGGCGCGCGTCCGGAGAGCGGGGGGCGCAGTCGCGCAGAGCAGGTATCCGGGTGGGGGCTGGGCCGGGGTGAGCGTTCCGGTCTCGGGGCGTGGCCTCCCGCAGGTGAGTCCAGTGGCGCCTCCGGTTTCCCAGAAACCTCTCCCGCCCGGATGAGGAGCGCAGAGGCTCCGATTCGGGGCGGGTGAGAAGCTGACTTTCTCTTGGTGCGTCCAGTAGAGCTCTGAGTTTCGAATCCGTGGCGGCGGATCCCCCGAGCGCCCGGCGCCTGGGTCTGGGAAGATGCGGAACCCAAGCGCGGCGTGGCTGCTGCGGGCCGCTGTCTTGCTGGCGGCCTCTGTCTCCTGCAATGGCACTATCCAAGGTGAGAAACCTGGCCATGGAGGGCTCGTACCGCTGAGGAGCTGGGGTCCCGGGCACGCCGGGTAGATGGTGGGATCCGGGCAGGTACGCGAAGGCTGTTCAGCTGCTGGCACCCACCTCCACGAATCCGTCAGCCTCCCCTTGATGGCTTTGATGGTGGGGGTCTCTGCGCCAAGGAGACACCCTCGTGGGACATGCGGGAGCAGCTGAAGTCGGCAGAGCCCGGCAGAGGCAGAGATTTCCCCAAAGACCTCCACTTACCGGAGAGGCTCTCATGCTGGGCACCTGCAGCCCCCAGAGGGGGTGCGGGGAAAGGGAGGGAAGGAAGGAGTGACCGTGTCTAAAGGGTACCCAGAGGACCCAGTTCCCTCCCCGGGCTTGGTTTCTTTGTAAACACTAAGTCATTAGGAGCTTTTAGCCCACTCTGGAGACTTCCTCTGCTGGCCCCGGAGGGCCAGTGGAATTAGCGAGCTGATGGCGCAGGGCAGGGCGGAGTGGGTGGGAACCCGCGGCCGGAGAGCCTTCTAGGTTGTTTTTTGCATCCCCTACCCACCTACTGGAAGCCTTTATTCGGGTTCTGCTCCCGGCGTTCGAGACCCATCCGGGACTCGTGGCTCCTGGCACCCACGGTGTATAAAGTCAGGGCCGACCCTGCTGGGTTCTCGTGGTAATGAGCGCTCAGGCCAGTTGGACGACACGAGGATTTACGAGGGGAACTTCTTGGACCCTGCCTTATATTTGGGCCTGGGGTTCCGAGACCTCCCTAGTGTGCCACCCAGAGCGGCCACTGGCGGCCACCCGGGTCTGCAGGCCCGAAGCTGGCCTCCCTGGGAACAGAGCGGAGCTTGCGCCCGGCCCGGGCGTTCCTCGGGTGTGCTGCTCCGGGTGTGCTCGAACTTGTTCTGCTGAGAGTGTGTTCTTTCGGGCCCAGCAGGCCTCTCTGTGGCCGTGGGGTATGTTTGACCTGCGATCACGCCACTGTGATGCTAACCGAGGCCCTGCAGTTTGGGGCAGCCTGGGTAGCAGTCAAAGGGAGGTTTTATTTCCCTGAGAAATGTGCAGACTTGCTGTAAAACGCAGTTTCTCACTTTTATCCTCCTCTTCAAAAAGTCAATGTAAAAGAGCAAGTCACAGTGCGTTGGAATTAGATGGAAGAATGTGATCCTTTTCCCTCTGCAGTTAGGAGAAAGGGTGTTATGGTTTAAGCTTGAAAACTGTGCACCACTGGTATATTTTTTATTAATCAGCACCAGAATAAAGACATTTAGCTCTGGGAAGTATTGAAAACTGTAATGAACACCTCTCCTCTATGTCCTTTGAAGTTGGAAACTTAAAATTCAGGAGCAAAGGTTAGTATGAGCAAACTTTTTAAAAAAGTACATGTTGGTATAGATAATTCAACATCTTTATGATTCAGAGGTCTGTCTAGGAAGCATGCCCCGTTTGTTTGGCTTGTTCTTGTTTACCCCTCTTGGTGGGGGATTGGGAGATCCCTGGAGTACAAGGTGAGCTTGATTTAATAACAAGGAAAAGTCAGGTTACTTGTTAACTAGAAGCCATTTAATATTGCACCTTGTTCCTCATCCTCCCTGCACCATACTTTTATTCCTTTGCTGGGTAACTTTCTCAAAGGGTTAGTGAAGTAACACAAATTTGATTTAGGCAGATGGAGCTTTCCTCCCACCTTGAAACTAAATTGATTTTATTAAGAAATACAGTGTCAGCAAAGCTTTTCTGTAGGTCTTTGCTCACTCCCTTCTGCGGGCCCCTCAGTTGGCTGCAGGGCCGATTTGGGGTTTCATTTTCTTCCCAAAGCCTCACTCCAAAAGACTGCCTCATAGAAAGGAACTCAGCCTAGATTACAGCCTTCTCATGGTACAAGTGAGGGACACTGAATTGGGGAGGAGGCAAGGCAAGGAAAACACTCCATCATGGCCCCACTTTCTTTCCCCTCATAATAGTAATTGATAATGATTTGGGTAAATATGTTTAACATGTGTCCTCACTGTATCATTAACTCCTGGAGGCAGGGGACCCTACCATCCTTTTCATCACATCTAGCATAGTCTCCTCACCCACGGGACCTCAATAAATAGTAAATGAATGAAGTGAGGAATCTCGCCCAGAGTACCCTGGCTGTCCATGCCATGTTCATTTCAGTCAGCTTCTCTCTGTCACTTACTTATTTTTTCCACCATGTTGCCAGCCTAGGTCATTCCATATCTCTTTTGGAGACTGAAATTTCTGTTTTCTTTATAATTGGTTTGGTGGGGTTTTTTTGTTTGTTTGTTTTTGTTTTTTTTCGTCTTACTCTGTTGCCCAGGTTGAAGTGCAGTGGTGTGATTTTGGCTCATTGCAAACTCCACCTCTCGTGGGTTTGGGTGATTCTCCTGCCTCAGACTCCTGAGTAGCTGGGACTACAGGCATGCACCACCACCCCCAACTAATTCTTTTTTTTTTTTTTGATGGAGTCTCACTCTGTTTCCCAGGCAGGAGAGCAGTGGCGTCATCTCGGCTCACTGCAAACTCTGCCTCCCAGGTTCAAGCAAATCTCCTTTCTCAGCCTCCTGAGTAGCTGGGACTACAGGCGCCTGCCACCACCCCTGGCTAATTTTTGTATTTTTAGTGGAGAATGGGTTTCACCGTATTTGTCAGGCTGGTCTGGAACTCCTGACCTCAGGTGATCCGCCTGCTTCGGCCTTCCAAAGTGCTGAGATTACAGGCATGAGCCACTGCACCCTACCTATAATTCTTTTTTAATTATAAAAATAATATATGATCACTGTAGGGAAAAATGAGCCAAAACAAAAAAAGAGGAAAATTTAATTAAATCACCCTGAACTTCAGTACCAAAGTAGCCACTGCTAACATTTCCGCTTATATCTTTTCTCACTCTTTATTATATCATGCACAAAATACATATTCACAAATACAGAAATCTGTTTCTGCAAGTATGGGATTATATAAGCAGATCAGTATCTTGTCAATACATATAAAACATTTTAAATGACTCTAAAATGTTATAGGAGGGTTATCAATTTTTAAATTAGCCCTTTGTTGATAGACATGTGGTATTTACAAATTTTTTTTCTTTTTTTTTTTTTTTCCTCCGTGACAGAGTCTCTCTGTTGTCCATGCTGGAGTGCAGTGGCACGATCTTGGCTCACTGAAACCTCTGCCTCCCTGTTCAAGTGATTCTCATGCCTCAGCCTCCAGAGTAGCTGGGACTACAGGCGCATGCCACCACGCCTGGCTGATTTTTGTGTTTTTGATATAAACAGGGTTTTGCCATTTTGGCCAGGCTGGTCTTGAACTCCTGACTTCAAGTGATCCATTGCTTCAGCCTCCCAAAGTGCTGGGAATAAAGGTGTGAGCCACCACGCCTGGCCAATGTTTTGTAATATGACAGAACACTGCAGTGAACTGGAAGATAGGACTTTAAATGTGATCCTTTTGCTTGCATTGTAGTTACTAAGTAACCTTGATAGGTGATGTTTTAGTAAAGTCTGTGTTTGTCTTTCTTATGGTTTTATTAGCTTGGCAAATGTTGAAGAAAACAGTTCATTCTGAAAGAACACTTGAGAAAATGTACTAAATGTATAGCTAGGGAGGGGTACCCCACAATTGAAACCTTTTAGTTTTCAGCCTGTGCTCCCAAAGACTGGGAGCAAAAAAGAACATTTGGGGTGAGGGAATTGTAGAGAAAGAGGGTGAAAGGAAGAGAGTTAATGCCAATAAAAGTACTTGTTTTACACTTGGTTTGATGGGGAGGGTGGTCCACAAGAGGAGTATACTTAACAATAAAAATTAAATTAAAAGTTTTACATGCAGATTTTTCCAAAATTCTGCAAATCAGAAGGGTCTAAAAAAAGTGAAAATCTCTCATTCTTTCCAGTCTCCAATCTCAGCCTGACTTCTCGGGTTTGTTTGGTTGGTTGGTTGGTTTTGTTTGAGGCAGAGTCTCGCTCTGTCGCCCAGGCTAGAGTATAGTGGTGTGATCTAGGTTCACTGCAACCTGCGTCTCCCAGGTTTAAGTGATTCTCCTGCCTCAGCCTCCCGAATAGCTGGGATTACAGATGTGCACCAACACCTCTGGCTAATTTTTGTATTTTTAGTAAAGCCAGGATTTTGCCATGTTGGCTTAGCTGGTCTTGAACTCCTGACCTCAAATGATCTGCCTGCCTTGGCTTCCCAAAGTTCTGGGATTACAGGTGTGAGCCACTCTGCCCGGCCATCGGCTCAATTTCTCAATGCACAAATAATTCATAGGAATAGAAGGAGCATACTATACATACTGTGCTATGGTTTATTTATCTTTTTAACCTAATCAATTCCTAGTCAGTGTATAGAAATCTGTACAAACTTTTATAGGGGGGCAATTGAACTAATCCTCCCCTCTGCCCCCTGCCCCATTTTTTTTTTTTTTTAAAGACCGAGAGTGCAGTGGCGGGATCATAGCTTACTGTAAGCACCTCAGCTCCCGAGTAGCTGGGACTATGGCTAGTTTGCCACTACACCTAGCCTGACCTACTCCCTTAACCCCACTCCCCAACAGAGTTTTACTCTGTCACCCAGGCTGGAGTGCAGTGGCGTGATCTTGGCTTACTGCAACCTCTGCCTCCTGGGTTCAAGCAATTCCCCTGCCTCAGCCTCCCAAGTAGCTGAGATTACAGGCACCCGCTACCACACCTGGCTAATGTTTGTATTTTTAGTAGAGATGGGGTTTTACCATTTTGGCCAGGCTGGTCTCGAGCTCCTGACCTCGTGATCTGCCTGCCTCACCCTCCCAAAGTGCTGGGATTACAGGCGTGAGCCACTGCGTCCGGCCCTGAACTACTCCCCTTTTTGGTAGATGTTGAAATCAACATCTTTGTTTTACCATGCTAGACAATGTTCCAGTAAATATTCTTGTACATACAGTAACTTGGTGTACTTTAACTAGTATATGCAGGGCAAATTCCTAGAAGTAAATTGCTAGGTCATATGGCAAGTACGTTTATT